AACTGCAGAACTGCAGTCAGCTGAAGTAGCCTGCAGTGCTGCATTTAACCACTGCGCCACCTCGGCCCCTGGACCTTGAGTTTGACACCCCTCCTTAAGAACATAAATGGATCAGTCAAAAACCACCCTTCAGTTGAGCTATTATTGTTCTCAATGACCCAGCATTAAGAAGACTCCTCCTTTCCTTTCTAGACATCTTCTGCAGGTGTCGGGATGCATTGGAATAAGGTTCTCAAAACTGACTGACCTGCATCATGGCAATTTCATTTGTCATCAGCCCGTAACGGATTACGATATTACACTCAGGGATGTCCAGCCCTTCCTCAGCCACGCTGGTGGAAAGAAGAAGGTTGAGTTGCCCCTTGCGGAAGCGATCGAGAACATCTTGTTGCTCTTGCTGAAAGACAAAGACAAAATTAGAAGGCTTGTTTTTTTACCATCTAGTACTGTGATGGCGAACCTGTGGCACGCGGAGCCATTTGTTAGGGCACAAAAGGCGTTGCCCTGCCAGCTCCAACATGCATGCGCGCGCTAACCAGTTGACATCAGCCTTCGACCGGGAACCGACTTCCGGTTTGCTTGTAGGGCCCGTTTTCGCCCTCCGGAGCCTTCAGGAGGCTTCCCTGAAGGCTCCAGAGGGCGAAAACCGGCCCTACGAGCAAACTGGAAGTCTGTTCCTAAACTTCCGGTTTTCCTTGTAGGCCGTTTTTTTGTGCTCTGTGGGCTTCAGGGAAGTTCCTGAAGCCTCCGGAGGGCCTCCGGGGCAGGGGTAGGGAGGCTGTTTTCGCCCTCTCCAGGCTCCTAGAAAGCCTCTGGAGCTCTGGTTGTATGCGCATGTGCGCAGGGTGGGGGTGCATGTCCATGCGCGCTGGGGTTGTGCACATAGGATTATGGGTGTGGCACGCCCGCACAGGAGCCCCCCCTGCTCTCCCCCTGCTTTTGGCACGGGAGCCAAAAAAGGTTCACCATCACTGATCTAGTGGAACTGGGATGCTCAATCCCAGAAGACAGAAGCGGGCTTCCTTTGAACACTTTTATTCAAGTAGTCTACAGCTCAGGGGTTGGAAACTGTAGCCTCTTTATGACCCGTGAACTTCAACTCCCAGCATTCCTGAGCCAGCATGGGCGAACCGGTAGCATTTCACCCCTGGTCTCATTCCAGTGAGACTTACAGTACATCCCTGGGAATGGGATAGAGGCTTTTCCACATTTTTTTTGTAGACTTACCTGCGTCATATGCTTTGTCTGACTGCTGGAACCAGCTCCCGTCAGAACATCAGACTTGATCCCAAGTGCACGCAAAGCCTGGTTACCCAGGACCCACTCCTGCAGAGAATAGGCACTCTGGCGTGTCCAGATGAACACAATGCCCCGTGAGCTCTTCAGTTCTTGGAACTGGTCTTGCAGGACTTGTTGCAGCTTGCCAAGTTTGGGATTCTCGTAGCGACTGTCTTTAGCAAGGTCCAAGAGAGTCAACCTGTTCTCTATAAACCAAAGGCATGGTGTGGTCTCAAATAAGGATGAGCAGCAGGAGAATCATCCCTGAATCTGACACGTATCTATAACTCCTGATCCTATATCTCAGTTAGCATTTAACCCAAAAGATTAATGTGGGTAGCAGCGAATAAGAAAATTGAAACCACATGGACAGCGACAACAAAATACACAACCTAATATTAATAATTTTAGAGCCGAGGTGGCGCAGTGGCTAGAGTGCAGTACTGCAGGCCACTTCAGCTGACTGCTAGTTCAGCAGTTCAGTGGTTCTAATCTCACTAGCTCAGGGTTGACTCAGCCTTCCATCCTTCCGAGGTGGGTGAAATGTGGACCTGGATTGTTGTTGGGGGCAATATGCTGACTCTGTAAACCGCTTAGAGAGGGCTGAAAGCCCTATGAAGCGGTATATAAGTCTAACTGCTATTGCTATTGCTAATATAGAGTGCAGTAGAGTATATGACAGTAAATTGCCACTACAGAGAGTCCTTGACTTATAACCACAACTGGAACCAGAAGGTCTAAGCAAAGTAGTTCTGTTTCGTATCCTATTTTATGACCTTTCTGCCACAGTTGTTAAGTGAATTACTGTAGGTGATAAGTAGCAAATCCGGCTTCTCCCATTGAGAAGAATCAATCTTATTGGAAGCTGGCTGGAAAGCTCACCAAAGGTGATCATAAGACCCGCCAGAACACTGCCACTGTTGTAAATACATGCCAGTTGCCAAGTGGGAGAAAATATGGGTGTGCCTTATATATCGAATACAGCATTTTTGGCCTCCCCAAACCCCACCCCCTTCACAAAAATGGACCTGCAGAGGCTTTGGTAAGC